GTCTACATCCGATGTGACAATGTAAAGTTCGCTTTCTCACCTGTAATCCTTCAAATATTTCAGAGTGGGTTTCAGGGGAAATGTTATGAGTAATTAGTATCTTACCTGTTGTAGATCGCTTTTTGAAGTTTAAAGAAAGAGGTGATTTCTGATCAGACTCGTGAGCTAATAGCTACTCTTAGCAGTGCAAAAACCAAACTGGATTGATGTCCTTTTATTTGAGGTTAAGTCAGGGGTGTCAGACTCATTTTCACTGAGGGCCACATGAGCATTATGGTCGCCCTCAAAGGTCCAGTTGTAATAAACTTTGATGTTTCATGTTAAACTTTGACTAAACACAAAACATCACATTCCTCATTTTGTTGTTAACAAACAATAGCTGAGCTCTACATGGTATTTCCTGCAACAAAACTGTTTCATATCGTTATTGCATTTGGCCACTTCAGTATTGTCCCTTGGGGAACCCCTTCAACAAGGGGCACCTCGAAAAATACCATATTGTGATGGCTCTGATACCTCTGTCAGAGGAATAGCATCCCATTTGGGACACTTTCATTTTGCTTAAAATGCAGGACATCCAAGCTAATAAGGGACTGTTGACTTCAGCTTAGAAGGCAGTGGGTGTTGATCTAATCCACTCAGATTCAGCCATCAGTACATTTGAGCTACAGCAATTWTACTCTCTCTGGCTCTTTAGGAGTGGAGGAGCCAAAGGTTGACTGACTGCTGCCAACTAGTGGTTGGATGTTAAATTACACCACAAGAATGAACCTCTGGCATGAAAGTTTACATTTTAAACCTTAATTAAAAATAATTAAATATGATATTTCAGTGYATCAATGTTTTATTTCACCCCTACTACATGCATTATGGGAGTTAAAGTTCATGGTCAGTGCTGCCTTTAAAACAGAATATGCCTATTTTAAGACATTCAAACATCTTTGAAGTGCTTGCGGGCCACATAAAATATCATGATAGGYCACACAGGCCTTGAGTTTGACACRTGGGTTAAGGCAACACCACCTTTAATTTTTCATTACATAGTTTTCTGGTTAAAAATAACTGCTGGAAGTGGCTCAGTCTGCATTTCAAGTGCTACAGCTAGGTGCTGCAGCCATCAGCTCATCAACTAGCTAGATTTTAACTCTGTTTCTCCAAACTAATGTTTGTCAAAGAACTATATCTACAACAAATAAGACAGCATTTGTTCATAACCTCTAACCCACACTTCTCTTCACAATGTCTGAACCAGTGGCGTCACTAGGCCTATTTTAGGGGGGCTGGATCCCCCCTAAAATATTTTAAAGACCCCCTAAATTATTTTGGTGTTAAAAAATTTTGATTTTATTTATTTATTTATTTGAGAAAAAGGGGTAGAAATCATAAGAATTTTCTTCTTCTGCTACCTTTCATTTAATTTATGATTTTTTTAATTGTGTATTAAATTTATGTTGTTTTGTTTTAAATGAATAAACTTTATAAATAAATAAATAATTTAGAGATTTGCTCTTTGGGACAAATACATATTACTTTCAAAAAAGATAACTTTACCTTTTCCTTCTTTTTTTGTTTCCTTTTCCTTCTTTTTTTATCTCTTACATAATCTTTCTTGCATATATGTGTGTCTGCTAAATCAGGCCCAAACGACTGAGTCTGCGGTCATACAAAGAGTACTGGTTTGTGTTTAAGGACACCACCATCTCTTACTACAAGAACAAGGAGGCCTCCAGCGGCGAGCCCATCGAGCAGTTTCATCTGCGAGGTCAGGACCCACAATCATGGAGCTTCGATTGTGTGTTTATGTTTTGTTAGCCTTCAAGTGAAGCATATGCTAAAAACTCACTAAAACCATTTGCATCATGTTTTAAAAGTTCTGAGTAATCATCAATCAAAATGAATATTTACTGCAAACACGATTCTGCGAGCATGTTACTACATCTGNTACAAAAATCCTGTGCGTCTCCTGGGGGCTAAGCCCCCCCTTGTCCTTAAAACCTAGTGACACCCCTGGTCTGAGCTATCTCTTTCAGAGCACTTTTCTGAGAAATATGCTGTAGATTTTACAATAAGTTCCTTATTTTGTATGTTTTCTCTCCGGTGCAGGAAACACAGTATGCTAAGTGGAAAGCTGCATGTATTCTTGCCTCCAAAGGCAAAACAATGGCCTACAGCTCCTATAGGACAGAAGTGAAGCACATCCTTTCCTTTTTGCAAATGAAAAGCCTGGCGCCCGCTCCTGGTCAGGCAGCTCCAGACCTAGACGCCATGGAAATGAATCCTGAATGTTTTGTTTCTCCGCGTTACGCCAAAAAGCAAAAGACTAAACAGGTTCGTTTGAGACCTCTATGACTTTGCCGTCTACTATAACAACTCTTCGCATTAAATAATTTYGCTAACTTATTTTCATGGTTGCATCAAGCTGACAGCACGAATCCTGGAGGCTCATCAGAACATAGCACAGCTGTCGCTAACGGAGGCCAAGATGCGCTTCATCCAGGCCTGGCAGTCGCTTCCCGAGTTCGGAATCAACTACTACATTGTCAGGTACAACTAACATGTTTTGATCAAATAATCATACAACTAATGACACATCAAAAAAGAATTAAAATCAAAAACAACTGGACTTCCAATTCTAAAGTTGAAGACATTTCGCTTCCCATCCAGGAGGCTTTTTCATTTCAAAGTCTGTAGTGAGATGAGATGCTGGCTTTAATAGATCTATAGATCTAGGATTCATTAAAGGTTCTCACAGGCCTACTAGACCAGGTTCTCAGGATTCACATGTAAATCATGATCATGATAACTGAGAATTGAAAGTCCAGTTGTTTTTGTTTTTAACTCTTTTTTGATTAATGATGACCTGGATAACTGAGAATCTTCATCAGCAACTGGTGACATATTTAAACATCATGTTTCCTTTTTTTGTTTGTTTGTTTGTTTGTTTGTTTTGTTCTTCAGATTCAGAGGAAGCAAAAAGGATGAAATTCTAGGGATTTCATACAACCGAATGATCCGTATTGACATGTCGACCGGCTTGCCCGTCACCACGTGGAGGTTTGCCAACATGAAGCAATGGAACGTCAACTGGGAAATAAGACAAGTAAGGGTTCGTTTTGTATTCATAGGGGGAGAAAAAAAATTAATTTTACAGTGTTTTCTGCAGATATTGAATGTGAATCCTTAATCTCTTGTATCTAATTTCAGGTGACAATAGAATTTGACCAGAATGTGACGATAGCTTTCTGCACGGTGAGCTGTGACTGCAAGGTGGTCCATGAATTCATCGGGGGTTACATCTTCCTATCTACGCGATCCAAGGACCAGAATGAGACGCTAGATGAAGAACTGTTTCATAAACTCACAGGAGGCCAAGAATGACCAAATGTATTGATGTACATGATGTGTTTGGTGTTCATTTTCATAACCACTGCCATAGGTACAAATAACACATTTTTTGCTGACAGAACAAAATAATAATGTCTTGACATCATAATGGGTTTCAGCCCAGGTTGTGTCAGGAAGGGAATCGGGAGTAAAACAATTGCCAATTTTTATGTGTGAGTTAACTTGCTGTGGCAACCCCTGTAGGAGGGAGAAACCAAAAGAACAGTATTATATTGACATCACTGACTGAAATATTGTTCAGCTTCGTCTAATGTAAATATGTAGTTAGGGTTGGTTTGTCAAATTTAAACTGAACAAATATTTGTGAAACAACCTTTTTACATTTAATTACATTTTCTCTATTAAACTAAAAAAATTTCAATGTCTTTTCTATTCATTGACAATTTTGCAGTCATTTCCAGATTACAACATGCTTTGATTAAAATCATAAAAGAGCCATATGATGTACTTGAAAGCAGACTTTATTTGGGGGTCATATTTTCAGTATTATATATAAGATATAATATACTATGAGACACATTCAGTATAGTACAGCCATATCCTCTTTTACCTATTGCCACAACCAGAAAGTGAAGATTCTGTTTTTTGCAATCTAACATTCCACATTTGTGCTACTTTTACCATTCATACCATACATTTTACCATATAATATATTAAAACATTTGGTTTGATTGGAAATGCTGAGCTATGCCTTTAAGTATTTGTGTCTCTTATTCTTTTTTGATTGTTTAACTTTATTCACAAACATTTCCCCATCATTAAAATTTCCTGTTTCTCTTGGGCACAACCGGTGCTCCCCTCGATTTTTCTGAAATCTACTTTTTATACCTTACATTTTCCCTATTGGCTAAGAATCACATCAATGTTCCTTTCCAGCCAATCACAGGCACGCATGGTGAAAGGGGTTGATCCTGCTTCAATGTGGTTTCGTTTAGCCATCCTTCTCAGAAGCTAGTGAAATGAAAGCTAACACGTGGATATAGGTACCTAAACTTTCTTATATCCAGTATAATTTCGTGCCTTTTATCAACTGTGCCTTGTCAACGACGACTGTAGACACTTAGCTAAGGCGAAGTTTTACTCGTCAGGAGACTGTTGAGTCTTTTATTATGGCGGACAACGAAGACGATGATCAGTACAGAATCAAAGAGGGAGACTACGTTGTGCTAAAACGAGGAGAAATCTACAAATCAATGCAAATTCAACCCAGGAAGTAAGTCAGAACTGCACATTTAAGATAAAAAAAATGCTAAACATAAAGCTGTACGTTGAATCTCCTTTTATTTAAAATACAACTAAGCAATGAGAGTGTGTGTGGATGTTTCCACACAGGAAAGTGATTTTTGAGAAGCAGTGGATCTTTCTGGATAATGTAGTGGGACAGATGTACAACACCACATTTGAGATCTTGTCTGGGGGAGCCCTGCAACCAAAGAAGGAAGACACAGAGAGCTCTACAGGTGTGAATAATTCAATTTAACATATGGTACCAATCAATTAAAAACACATGCATTATTAAATCTCTCATGTCTGAATTGTTGAATGAGCATGTGAATTAGCACTGACAGCTTGTTACTTTGTGTCTGAATGTGCATGTGTTTGGTCATAGATGTAAAAGTGGCAGGCACAGACAACAGGAACATTGTTGATGATGGGAAATCGCAGAAGCTGACCAGAGACGACATTGAGACGCTGAAAGAGCAAGGTCTGAAGGGTCAGGTACATCTGGAACCTTAGTTTCATGTTGAAGTGGGAACAAATCACAGAGCTGTGGAACAAGGAATCATTGTGGCATTTTACTGACACAAATTAGGGCTGTACTAAAATAAAAGTTTACCAATAAAACAAAGAAACAAAGGAAAACAGACACAAACTGCTTGAAAAAAGACACATATTTGGCAACCAGCTGAACCTCCTGTCCTCTAGATGCCTACAGCCAGCATATGGAGAGTGTGAAGATAATGACAGAACATGCAGGGTTTATAACAACTGATCTTGTCATTACAATCCCATGTTTTCCTAAAGTTGTTTAGACGTAAATACAGCAGTGAAGAAATATTTCTTATTAAAGCCTAGGTTTTACTACAGGAATGTACAGTATGTATGTTGATATGCTGAGCATAAATAAACTGTGTTTATGTCCGTGGTGATGAAGGAATCAGTCTTACAGTAGTTTAGTTTGGTTAGCCATTAGCCTAGACTAGACAAAGATTTTTTCCATTTTCTCCATACTCCATGCTCTGACTGATGTCACAGAGGATTGGTTATGACTGATCACTTCAAAAATATCCAGAAAATCCCTTTAAGTGCAAAATATAAGATGTTGAAACTCTGATCTACTTTTAGTTTTTTATTAAAAGCATGTTAACTACATACCATCTATATTAAACAGTTTTAATTTAGAACAGGGTCTTTTTTATTTCTTCTATGTAAAATGTTAGCTTCATTGCTAATTAAGATTGRTGTTGCTGTTTATTTTGAACCATCCGTTATCTTTTACTCACTTCTTCCTCTCTGAGTTGCTGGTGTCGATCTCCAGCAGTAGGTGGGGTTCACCCTGGACCGTTTGCAAGTCCATCCCAAGGACACATAGAGACAAATGAGACAAAAAATTTTAACACTCTCACTCATACCTAGGGACAATTTAGAGTTACCATTTAACCTAATATGTATGTGGTGGGTCTGTGGGAGGAAACCAGATAACCTGGAGAAAACCCACAGGTGTATGGAGAGAACATGCTGAATGACCCGAATAAACCTTCAAAAGTACAGTACACAGTAAAAATTTGAGGCTAAATGGCACATTTTGTATTATGACATTGCAGCATTGGTGCGACTCATACTTATCAGTTGACAGTATATTTAGGTTAACAACTGAAAATACCACCTAATAACTTTCATCCTCCTCAAAAAACATACAGTGGGTAAAATAAGTATTGAACATGTCACCATTTTTCTCAGTAAATATATTACTAGAGGT